ACTTGATTCTTTCCGGCAGCAGGTGCGGGTCCAGCTTCCCCTGCTGAGGAGCAGGTCCATGCCCAGAGGACACTGTGCAGCACAGGGGAGAGGAGGACCCTCCTTTGGCAATGCTCATCCAGACGCTGGGATCTGGAGGCGAGGAGGGTGTGCAGTCCGGAGGGCTTCCTGGAGGAGCTGGGCTTTAGCCCCTGCATTGTGTGGAGCCCAGGCAGGTGGAGAAGGAGGTGCTTCCTGCTTCTCCTCCTGGGAGGAGGGGCCTGGCGTGTGGGAGGGACACAGAGGACCGGCCGGGGCTGGAGGGCCATAGCAAGGGGAGGTGTGGGCGCAGGCCAGGGTGAGGGTCTGCGAGCCACCTCAGTGTGGTGGGAGGAAGCGACGTGATCTGGTGTGGGTTGTCACAGGGCCCTTCCGGCAGCTGCCTGGGGAACGTATTGTGGGGCCAGGAGGGAAGGAGAGTCTGGCTGGGGTGATGCCACTGGTCAGTCCTGGTGGCCTGGTGGCTGGGACTGTGCCGGGCTGAGGGTTGGTGAGAACGGTCTGTTCTGTGGGGCAGGGGACCTGCTCTGTCCCAGAGCGAGCTGGCATCGCCTGGCTGGGTCTTGAGGAAGCCAGGAGCAGACAGCAACCTCCCTCGGTGGGTCCCGGCGAGGCGCAGTGAGGAGAGGGTCACCTTGTGTCCAGTCAGGGCCGCCCTGCCACCTGGTGTGGGCTGAGGTGAGAGCCAGCGGGCTCCTCTGCGCCAGTTACAGGTATGGACCCTGCTCCGTGTCCTGGGCATGGAGGTTCAGGTCTGTAGCAGCCCAGGACTTGGAGAAGGTGGGGAGAGAAGGCAGGGCCAGCCTGGTGTGGCAGGATGGCTGCAGGGAAGGGACGGCTGAGTTTGAGCCGTGCTGTCTGTGTGTTGGGCTGTCTTGGAGTTGCTTTACACACATTCACATACTTCATCCTCACGTAGTCCAGCAAGGAAGCGCTGTTATGGTCTCCAGTCTGTCATGGGACACTGAGGCTCGGAAGGTTCACCATGCACCCTAGGTTGCATGACTAATGGGCAGTAGAAACGGGATTCAGCCAGTTTTCGGCCAGAGCCATGTGTCGCACAGGGGAGGAACCACTGCGTACCCTGCTAGTCATGGGGACTTTGGAGACTCACCACCCTGCCAGCCCTGCCTCTGCTTGTTAATTGGGGTGACAGTGCCACCGCTGGGGGCTCTTCACACCACCAATAGATGCTTGCTAGGTTGTTACCTGCAGCAAGCTTCGGGTTCAGCCCTGAGGACCTCGAGCTCTCTGAGGGCTGCCCTCGGGGCTGCAGAGGACTTGGGCCCAGAGCAGGGCTGGCCAACAGAAACAGAAGTGAGCCACGGTGCCCCTCATCTTTTTTTCTTTCCCTCCCTTCTTTCTCCTTCCTTCCTTCCTTCCTTCTTTTTTTGGTACTGGGATCAAACTCATGACCTTGCACTTTCAAGGCAGGTGCAGTGCCACTGAGCTAAATCCCCGGTTGGCTTCTCTCTCTCTCTCTCTCTCTCTCTCATCTCCCAACTCAAAGCCACCACTCCTAGCAAAGTGTATGTTTGTTTACATTAGTGAGAAACTGTACAACTCTTCCGAAGTAGCTGTATGATCTTCCAGGGCCCTAGCAATGTATGGGAGTCCCTACTGCCAGTGCTTTAAAAATTGACTGTCTTTAAAAATGGTCCCGAATGTCTTTTACGTCCTTATTTGGTACTTACATGTGTGTTTGAATCTTTTGCCCATCTTTAACTTCTTTTTGTGAATTGGCTATGGAGGTGTAAGAGTTGGCGCCTCTTCTTGGGTCCCTTAAATGGGATGGCGTGTGACACACACTGGGCAGCTGGGATGTCCATCCCAAGGCCCCCCTCTGCCATGTGCTCTGCCATGGTGTGCGGCTTTGCCATGACCCCGAAGCAGTGTGACCAACTAGTGTGGGCTGAAACCCGCAACTCATTGAGCTGAAATAAGCCTTTCCTTTTTAGGAGGTTGCGGGGGAGTGGGGATTGAACCCAGGACTTTCACACTGAACTACATTCTCAGCTCTTTTTTCATTTTTACTTGGAGACAGGGTCTCAGTAGCTAAGTTGTCTAGGCTGGGCTCTAACTTGCAATCTTTCTGCCTCAGCCTCCCGGAGTACTGGGATTATAGATAGGTATGTGATAGCATGTCTGGCTGAATCTTGCCTCTTTAAACTGATTCTTTCAGGTACAGTATTTTGTTAGAGCAGCATAATGCTGACTAGCATAGGCATTGCTGTTTATAAACCACACAGCCCCGTGGCCCTCTCTCTTACAGTCTTGTCTCACTCTAGTCTGTCACCCCCAGGGTCCCCCAGGAGAGGGCTGGGCCCTGGGAGCCCACCTAGCCCTCTTGCCTTGCTGACCACTGTCCTTGGTAGTGGGCAGCAGGCTGTAATCACTAGGATGGCTGACTTCAGGAGCCAGAGGCCCCTGAGGCTGGAAGGGCGTTCGGCCTACCCATCCTTCACTGTCACTTTATGGCTGGGACACTGAGACCCAGAGAGGAGAAGGAAGCTGCCCAGGCCCCCATAGCATGTGGCTGACAGGACGGAGGCTACTGGTCTGGTGAGGCTTCCTCTGGCTGCATCTGAGGGGTTTTAGGGTCTTAGGGGCTGATGGAGTGAGCAGCCCAGGCCTGCACCCCCTCCAGATATGTTGGAGATGGGCTCGGTTTTCACAGGATCCTGTCCTTCCCCCACCCCTAGCTGCTTGTTCTGCTACTGCAGCTGTGCACATCTGTATTGTCTTCCAGGGCACCAGCTGGGGCTTCTCATTGCCTGGGAGCCCTGGTGAGGCGAGGGGGCCAAGATGTGAGGCAGATGAGGGGGGATGAGAAGCAGAGGTGTTGGGCTGACCCAAGCCCTCTGGGACCGGTCTGGGGCCTGGCCTTGGCCCTACAGCTGTGGCCACCTGGGGCCTCCCCTGGACCCTCCTTGTTCCCTGTGCCCCTGACTTGGAGGCTGATCCCACACACACACCCTGGGCTCAGCCTGCTGGGAGGGGTCTGGGAAACTTTGGCCGTGCTGTTTGGGGCCTGGCAGCTTGGAGGCATGGAGAAGTGGGGAGACAGCTTCTGCTCTGCCGTTGCCAGCTGGGGTCCCCTGTGAGCCCCTCTTGCTCTCTGAGCCACCTGTTTTTCTGTTTGGGAACATAGAGGCACATTTTTTCCACCATAGACAAAGAACAAAACAAAAAAGGCGGCGGGGCAGGGCCTTCAGATTGGAGAGGGTGTGAAGATCCGGAACACAAAGCGTGCGTGTTGGCAGAGTCGGTCACAAGGCCTGGGAGTTTTCGCAGATGGCAGGGCTGATGGGGGACTTTCCAGTGGAAGAGGAACCTCTCCCAGCAGTGGTTTGAGCAGGTCCTGGGAGGGCAGTGAGTGGTGGTCACTCCCTTTCTCTGAGAGTCCCCAGGGTGAGAGGGTGCTCCTGGGAAGGAGCCTGAGTGCATAGGTGGGGGGGGGCCCTGGGGAGCACCTGCGGGGGACCTGGAGCTGCCATTCGGGGTACAGTAAGGCCAGCCTGCAGACTGGACTGACCCTGGGGCCCCACTGTCCCCTGCTGGTCACAGGACGGAGGCAGGTGTGGAAGGGATGATCAGGAGCGATTGTCCCCACTGCAGGCTGCTGGGCGTCTTTATGTTCTCATGCACAGAGCAGAGCTGTCACCAGGTGTAGGGGCTGGGGGCTGGCAAGGCAGGTTGCCCCTCTCGTGCTGGCCCGTCAGTTGTGCAGGGTTGTGTGGCATTCCCAGCCGCTCCCTTCCCAATATGCCTGGTCCTCGGAGCTGTTTCCACCTCCCAGAACCTCGGAGTCTTCCCAGCCTTCTTGCCCACACAGGCATTTACGTATTAACTTTACATAGGTTTTAACTTTATTCAGAGGGGAAAAATCAGAAAATGCAGGTGAGCAAAAAGAGGGGACTAAAAGTTATCTGGGATCTCTCTTAGAGAGAGTTCTCTGAGCACCCCGAGGTGACTCCTCAGGCACAGTGAGGGTGGCATGGTCACAGGTCTGTGCCATGCAGCTGCTCCGGCTATTCCATTCCCTGGGTGGCTTTGGGCTCTGGTCCACGGGGTCCATTTCATGGCAGTTTGGAGTGATCAGCACCTGCCCTCCTGGTGGCTGGAGGCTCTTTCCAGTGCTGTGTTCTTAGGAATAACATCTGTCACCGACCCAGCCATGGTGGCCCACTTCTCACGTGTGTCCTTCGCATGTCCTCAGGAAAGAGCTCTACAGGGGGACTGCTAAAGCCTAAGGACACACAGCCTCCTTCTAAATCCCGTGCAGATGCTGATGTGGAGTTGGATGGTGTTTTGTTTCGGTGCCTGATTTGCTGACAGTTCACCTTTGCTGGATGTCTCAGTCCTCACTTTATAAAATTCATAGCTTGAATGTCCTCCTGTGTGCTCATTTTGGAAGCATGGATACAGACACTGGAGTGATAAGATTAGTAGGGTCCCAGGGAAGGAGGAGGAGTGAATTCATGAAGTTTCCCCTCCTCAAGAGTGTCCGCTTGCATCCTGTTCCCCTCCAGACCCTTAAATCCAAGTGTGTCTCCCCTCTGTGCGTCTCTCTGCCCTGGGAGCTCCCCACCTACTATGCTGCCATCTTCTACTTGCTCCAGCCTGGAAGGCCTAGCCTTTGTCTAAGCCGCCGGGACCAGCTGCTCAGAACCTTGGATGTGCAGTGGGTGACTACCCCCTTCCTAACTGTCCTATTTTCGCCAGGGGTTGCTCTTTGCGTCTTTCTCTGTCCATGACTTCCCAAAGTATCAGCAGGAGGCCAGGCACCTGGCAGCCACCTTGGGAGCCTGTTACTCTGTGAGTCTGGGTTGAGCCTGCCTGTGTTTGGAGTTGCAGTGGTAGCTCTGCTTGCAGTAGGTGGCAGGTTGGGGTGGGCCAGGTCCCTTTCTGCGGTGGCTCCTTCCACCCCTGCCCAAACTGTATGCCCTCTCTCCCCACAGGTCTTGGGTCCTGAGGCTGCCAGCTGACTATGGGTACGACGGCCAGCACAGCCCAGCAGACGGTCTCAGCGGGCACCCCCCTCGAGGGTCTCCAGGGTGGTGGCACAATGGACAGCCGACATTCATTCAGCATCCACACCTTCCATTCCACAAGCCTGCACAATAGCAAGGCTAAGTCCATCATCCCCAACAAGGTTGCCCCTGTTGTGATCACGTGAGTGGCAGGGGGAGTGTGCCTATGTTCCTGGAAGACACGGTGCCCTGGGGACTTGAATGGAGGTGGAGTAGTGTACATACTCAGTGCTTACAAATGGCTTTTGCTGTTCCATAAATGAAGACACAGGCCCAGAGACATTAAGCAGTTTTTAGGGAGTCACACAGCAACCTGGGTTTCTGAGCCCATGTTACTTATCATAGTGCCAGCAAGCGTGGAGAAGGGAAAGTGGCAGGAGGGACACCCTTTTGAAAATTATTTGTTTTTGGGGGATCGAACTCATGACCTTGTGCTTGCGAGGCAGGTGCAGTGCCACTGAGTTAAATCCCTGGCCCTGAAAATGATTTTTGATTGAACAGTTTTAAAGGAAGTGTATTCCATGTATTTAGGTTCATGGAATTTTTTCTTTCAAAGCCAGCCATTATAGCTCAAAACTGAGGTCAATACTGGGTTGTTTAAGGTCCTTAGGCTAAAGAAATGGGAAGTTGCTAGTTGATACTCTTAAATGGGTCCTTCAGAAACAGTCCCTGAGGGGTGGAGGATTTGTCCTGGCAGCCAGTTTGGAGAGACCTGGACACATGGCGGCAGCCAGAAGAAGAGGGTCCTGAAGGGGCCCAAAACCCTGTCTATCCTATGGAGCTGCCCTGAGGAAAGATCGGGTGTTGAGAGCTGGACAGGAAGATGGAAAGGACATTGAATCTGTCCCCTGGAGGGCCAGGGAGCCTAGCATTTTTTATGGCATCTGCCCACCATGGTCCCCTGCTGCTGGCAGGAAGTAGGACTCGAGCTGTGAATTCAGTATGCAGCACACACAGAAGTTTGGCAGAGCCGTGGAAGATGGGGTGTGTAAGGAGGTCAGAGGGGGTGGAAATGATAAATCCTGTCTGCTCGCCCTGGGGCTGGGGAAAGGGTAATCATAATAAACTGTGGTGCCTGGAACGAGAGGAGGAAAAGAGGTGTCACATGAAAGAGACCTACAGGAGTAGGTTTGGGCCTTGGGAACAGCATGGAAAACACTTGTCCAGGGCCTGGATGCAACTCTGCTCTGTGGCCCTGGACAAGTCCCTTTTCCCTGTCTGGGCCTCAGTTTCCTTATCAGCATAAGCAGAGGTGACATTAACAATATTTCTCCAAGTGGTGTGGCTCAGAACAGTTGCTGGCCAGCTGTGAAGATCCATTTCAAAATGTTGTGTGCCTAGCCTGGAGCCATATATATTGCCAGGGTGTGGACTATTTGAGGTGGAAGGGTCCTTAGAGGTCATCCAGTAGTGGGATCAGCACACTGTATCCCACAGGCCAATCTGGTCCCTCATCTGTTAATATAAATAAAGTTTTATTGGAACACCACCACTCCCACAACCTACATGTCGTCTGTGGATGCTTAGCATTCCAATGGCAGAAGTGAGTGACTGCAGCAGAGGCCACATGTAGCCTGAAACATTCACTGTCAGGTCCTTTGCAGGAAGGACTCGTGGAACCCTAATCTAACGCTTTTTAGATCAGATGCAATAACTGATTTATATACAAAAACTGGGTTTCAAAGTGAGATTTGTCCACCTGTGTCCCCAGAAATAGAATGGAAACCAGGTCTCCTGATTCTTAGTTTAGTGCTCCTCTCACCCACCAATTCTGCCCCCTGCCTTTCCTAAAGGAAGTCCTTTGACATAAAGGCCCAGACACCAGATCCTAAACTCTGTGAGTCTGTGTCTTACGCATTGTTGTCACTGGCCCTGCGGCTTTGTGCTTTGAGACAGTCATCTTACAGTACTTGAGTATGTAGTTTTTTACCTGGCCTAATGTCTTCAGAAATCATGATTTTCTCCAGTGGGTTTGTTTGATCTGGCCCTGGTATGGAGAAGGAACTTCTTTGGGTAACAGTGATTATATTCATGTGTGTTTACTATGACCCAGGCTGAACACTTATGTCAGAGTCATGCCGCCCTCACCATAGTCTAAGGAGTTTGGAAGGCCTAGAAATGGAACTGCTATCCAAAGCCACCAAGTTACCAAGAGGTGGGGTTGGGATTCACACTCAATACCTGCATTCTGATACCCCACACCTCCAGGTGGTACGATTGGCAGTGTGGGATTGTTTCAGGTACAATCTGAAGGAGGAACAATTCAATGACAATGTCTTAGCAGGATCCAGGCCAGGCCATGGTAACAGTAGAACCCCCAGTAAGATGCCTTAATCAAGATGGAAACTTATCTCTCACTTAAATGTCCAGGCTGGTATGGCAGCCCTGTGATCAGCCCCACTGCTACTTTGGCTGCCCAGTGCCTGTGCCTTGTATCTTGTGATCTGAGGTGGTTGTGTTAGTTCTGCCATCCTTTCTGGATTTGGGCCCTGGAGAAAGACAGAAGACAAAGTGGAAGGCATTCCCTTTACATGTGGCCCAGAATTTGCTTATATCATGTTCCTCACATCTCATTGGGCAGGGCTCAGTCACATGACCAGATGCAAGGGTGACTGGGAAATGTAGTCTGCAGCTGGATGACTCCATTCCCCTTACCCCAATTGTGGGTAATCTTGGGTTCTGTGTCTGAAGAAGGGGAGAGTAGCTGCTGGTAGATGAGGGGCTATTTGTGTCACAAATAGGCAGCCATGTGAGCAGATGGGGTGGCCTTGCTGTGGGCTCTGGTGAGGGTGGAGGAGACCCTAACGTGGAAGTTGTCTGACTTGGTTTTTTCTGTGGCCTGGCAGGTACAACTGCAAGGAGGAGTTCCAGATCCATGACGAGCCGCTCAAGGCCCATTACACACTGGGCCGGCTCTCGGATGGCACCCCTGAGCACTACCTGGTGCAGGTGAGGCCAGGCCATGCCCTTGCAGCCTCAGCCCTCCTCCTGACCTTCTTTGTCAGGGGACCCCTTCCTGGCCTTCCTGCTCTGTCTCTCTTATTACCTCATCCCTTCTTAAAGGCCAATGCAGCGCACTCTACCTTGCATCCCTGGGCTCTTCCCCTCTAGTTTCCTGGGCCCATCCCTCTTGTCCCTGCTCTTTATTCCCTATCTGCCCCCTACCTGGCCCCAGCCTACCTTTGCTTTCCACCTTGGGCACCAGGTAAACAGATGGGCTGTTGGCCCCAGGGACCCTGGGCCCTGCTCTCCTTGGAGTGGGAGTCTCCATCTTGTTCTCTTTTGAAGTTTCAGACCTCCAGCTTAGCTAACTTTTCTTTTCTTCAGATGTCTCCTAGAAAGTATAAAGTCCATGAGGGCTCATAATTTTAAGTCTACCTTGTTTGCTACTGCAGTCCTAGGGCCTAGAACAGTATTTGGAAGCAAGCAGCTACTGAATAAATATATTTGGCGAATGAGTAACTCCGTGAAGTTGTACTTCATGAAAGAGGCCTGGGAGCCTGTGGCCCATCTGGGAATTTGGGTCCCACTTCCTGCCTGGCAGGCAGGATGGCTGAGGGTCCTGCTGGAGGCAGAGGTGCGCCAGATGACTCAGAGCAACTTATGGACCTGCAGTGAGCTCTTCCACTGCCCTCTCCTTTTGCTTGATTAGCGGACAGTGTTTTCCTCTTCTCTCTGTAGTAACTGCATCCATTCATCCTGCCTGGCATCCTCAGAACCAGCTGGGCATAGGAAGGGGCCAGCACAGTTGTCCTTGGCCTCATTCCTGGTGCCTTCACACTGTGACCCCTCCTCTGTCTCCTCCTCAGGCACAGCCTAGGCCAGTCCTGCCCCTCCCTGCTGTCAAGGCCTGGCCTGAGAGCCACCTCCTCTAGGAAGCCTTCTCTGATGCCTCCTCAGGGGGAGTCATCTTTCCTTTTTCAGCATTTTGTGACACCATTCCTATCACAGCTGTCTGGTTTTTGTTTGCTTAATCCATGAGCCTGCAGGGAACTGCAGGGCAGGATCGTGTTTCTCTTCCCTGGTTCCCTACACCCTGTTCCCTAGAGCCCAGTACAGAGCCCCTCCTGTACAAGATGCCTGGGTCATCTGAGTGACCCCCTGTGGCTCTCCCCTGCCAGGGCCACTACTTTCTGGTTCGGGATGTTACTGAGAAGATGGATGTGCTGGGCACCTCTGGGAGCTGTGGGGCCCCCAACTTCCGGCAGGCACGGGGAGAGCCTACTGTGTTTGGCATGGGACAGCCCAGCCTCTTGGGGTTCAAGCAGATCCTGCAGAAACTCCAGAAGGATGGACATAAGGTGAGCATGTTGCTGCCCAAGCCAGCCCCCCAAATCTGGGCAGAGGCTCAGGAGGGGCCTGGCCATAATCTGGGGAGGGCAGGTGGCAGCCTGGACCAGGCTCTGCCAGGCCTTGACTTCCAGGATGTCACTGTGGGTGGCATGGTTGGGAATTCTGGCAAATGTTTACCGCCTTGTCCTGTGTGGACATGGGAGTGGAGGCCAGGAGTTCCTTGTACACCCACTGTGAGGCCTCAGAGAAAGCGAGGGGTTGACAGATTGACACAAGGGGCCAGGATGTAAAACAAGAGACTGCCCTCTTACAGTCCCAGCACTCTGGGAGGCTGAGGCAGGAGGATTATGAGCTCTAGCCCAGCCTAGACAATTTAGTGACTTAGTGAAACCCTGTCTCAAAAAAAAAGGCTGGGGATGCATCTTAGTGTGAAAGCCCTGGGTTCAGTCTCCAGTGTCCCCTCCCAAATGCATAAAATAAAATAAAAATAAAAAGGAAGGAAGGACTACCAAATGATGATCACAGCTAACACTTAAGTCCTCATGTCGACCCTATAAGGGAGGAGCTGCTGGTCTCATTTACAGAGGAGGAAACTGAGGCTCAGAGAGGTTAAGTGACTTGCTCAAGGTCGTGCAGCTCACAGGGGAGCCCAGGGCCCCAACCCTCCAGCTGACCCCAAGCACGTGCTTTCAAGGACTCCCCTTGGCTGAGCTAGGTGGAGGATGTTGCTGTCTCCAGAATGGGCTGAGGGGGTACCGTGCCTGCAGGATGCTGGGCACTGCTTCACAGTTGACCTGGGGCTAAGGCGAAGAGGCCTGCAGTGGACCAGGATCGGGCAGGCTGTGCACATGTCCCATCTGCCTGTCTGGGTCAGCAGTTCCTCCAGGGCGAGCTCAACCACATAGCTTGTTGTGCCTATCAGTGGTCAGTGAGTGAATGATTGCATGAAGGTTGTGTTAGTCAGTTTTCCATCACTATGACAAAAGAGCTGAGAAAACCAATGTAAAGGAGGGAAAGTTTATTTTGGATCATGGTTTCAGAGGTTTCAGTCCATGGTTGGCAGGTTCCATTGCTATTGGCTGGAGATGAGGCAGAACATCATGGTGAACAGGGGTGTGGAGGAAACCTGCTTACCTTCTGGCAGCTGGGAAGCAGAGAGGAGAGGCTCCAGAGAGGAAAGGGCAGGGACAGAGTATACCTTTAAAAGCCACACCTCCCAGTGACCTTTTCATCCAGTGAGGCATGCTGCCTATAACCTGTTCAGCCAATGACTCAGTGTATTAACCCACTTGGTAGATTTAGAGCTGTCACGATCTAATCACCTTTCCAAAGCCCACTAGCAACCACACCTTCAACACCATGAGCCTTCTGGGGGACGCTGGATTCATAACAGTGGTGGTGCCCATTTATTTCTTGAGCTGACTTTTATTAAGCATTTGATTAATCCAGGGCTCTGTGCTAAGAATTGTGGGTGCATGAAAATGGATAGGATGTGATTCCACCTGGGGGTGGGGGGGTTCATCAAAAGAGAAAAGATGCATTCACCGATAAGGTGCGAAAAGGTGAGAATTACCATCACCATAAGGAATGTGGCCCTGAGAGGAGGGATGGTTCCTGCCGGCTGGGGGAATCAAGAGCAGTTTGGACTCTTTCTTGGGTAGCATCCAGGTTGCAGGGACCAGGTCAAGTGCTGGGCCCCAGAGGAAGGAGGCATTGCCTGGGCACAGCTGGGTGGAAGGTGATGCCTTTGCCAGGTAGTGGTGACGGCTTCCTTCTGCCAGGAGTGCATCATCTTCTGTGTTCGGGAGGAGCCTGTGCTGTTCCTGCGTGCTGATGAGGACTTTGTGTCCTACACGCCTCGAGACAAACAGAACCTTCACGAGAACCTCCAGGGCCTGGGGCCTGGGGTCCGGGTGGAGAGCATGGAGCTGGCCATCCGGAAAGAGGTGAGGGCTGGCGGGGTGGATGGGAGCTGAGGCCCCAGCTTGCAGAGTAGCTCTGCAGATGCGCTCCCCGGGCGGGCCCTGCTGGCTAGAATGGGCTACACTCCCCTGCTTGGAGGAGAGGCTGCCTGCAAAGCTGGCTCAGGACTGCCAGTGGACATACTTCCTGTTGCTTCCCTCTCTGGCCCTGCTGCACCCTGCTCTTCTGGTGCTCAGCACCCTTATTAGACAGGGGTCTTTTGGGGTGGGACAGTGCTAGACCAGGAGGCCCAGGACCCAGATTGCTCCTGTACTGCAGGGCCCTGGAAGAATCATTCTCGCTGGGCTCTGTGGGTCTGGGTCTGAGATTCCTCTGTCCTTTCCTTCCATGACATGGAGGCTTGACAGCATCGCGGACTCTGGTGACACACTATGGAAGAGAGTAAATGAGGTGTGGTGGTCACAGCACCTCAGAGACTCCCGAAGGGAGGAACCAAAGCCCTGCTGGTGACCACCATCTCCCCACCTCCCTTTCAGCCATCCATGACCTCTGTCCCCCTTGGCTCCCACTTGTAGTAGACTGAGCCTCGCCCCATCCTGGTGGTCAGGTGGCTTCATGCATTCCTGCTGCCCAATGGGCAGGGCCCAGCAGCGTGGCCTCCTTGGAGCTGGCTTCCCTCAGGCCAGTGGCCTCCCTTGGCCCCTCTAGGACTCCCAGGCAGGGCCCAGAGAGTGCTCTGGCTACGTGATTCCTTCCTTCTGTGTGTGGCCTCTGTGTGGCCCAGTCACTCCAGAGCTCAGCTGGGTCCTGAAGGTCTGGTCATGGTCCCCTGACCCCCATACTTCCCCCTAGATCCAAGACTTTGCCCAGCTGAGCACGAACACGTACTACGTGTACCATGACACGGAGGACCTGCGGGGGCAGCCCTGTGCCGTGGCCATCTGGGGTGAGGACGACGTGCATGTGACTGAGGAGGTGTACAAGCGGCCTCTCTTCCTCCAGCCCGCCTACAGGTACCTCGGGGCTGGCTGGGGTCCCCTCTGGGCTGCTCGCCAGCAGCAGCCTCAGTTTCCCTGTCTGTGCTTGGGCCAGCCTCAAGCCATCCCACCTCCCATGGAGGGGGAAGGGGGGTGGGTACCTGCCTGATGGGTTGCTCCCCTCCCCTGGCAGGTACCACCGCCTGGCCCTGCCAGAACAAGGGGCCCCCCTGGAAGCCCAGTTTGACGCCTTTGTCAGCGTCCTTCGGGTGAGTAGGGCAGAGGCTGTGACCCTGGAAATGCTCAGGGTGTTGCAACTGCCTTTCCCGGGAGGGCCTCGTTCTGGGGTGGTACGGGGTTTGGTGTGTTGGATGTTTGATGGTGTCTGTGTCCCTCTGTGGTGTCTGTGTACTCCTCGAGTGTGTGTCTGTGTGTGCATCTGTGTGCCAGTGTGCATTTGCACACCCTCCAATAGCAGAGTCCATCCCTGATCCCCGAGGCCGGGTTAGCCAAGACTTGGCTGTGTGGCCTTGGAGAAATCACCTTGCCTCTCTGGACCCCAAGTTCCTCATTTCTTTAGCAGCACTAGTGATTCTTACTCCACAGACTCTACTTGGTATTTACTGAGTCCTAGAGGCCTTCCTGTCCCAGGGTGCTGTCTTATTTATTCTTACTTTTTTGTGGTACTGGAGATTGAACCCAGGGTCTTCACATTGAGCTACATCTCCAGTCCTTTGTTTTATTTTGAGACAGGGCCTCTCTAAGTTGCTGAGTTGTCCAGGTTGGCCTGGAATTTTCGATCCTCGGCCTCCCGCATTGCTGGGATTACAGGTCTGTGCCACCACTAGGGTGCTGCCTTATTTACTTTGCGTCGCACACCAGGTGTTCAGGACAGGCACAGTGGCCTCTGAGCGGCTCTGGCTTTCAGACCCCACACACAGCAGCCTCACGCCTGCTCCTGGCGGTCCTCCAAGGCCCGTGCAGAGCCAGTGCCTGTGCTCCTGGGGGCACTTGGAGCAGGTCTGGGTGTGGTTTTGATACCAGAGGCTGAGTCGCTTGTCAGAGCCCAGCTTCCTGCAGCTGTGGGACAGGGTGTGCTGATGTCATAGCCCCTTCCTTGACTTGGTCCTCAGCCTCAGGGTTGAGGGTCGCGCTGCTGCCTGATGTTCCCGGTCTTTTCCCAGGAGACCCCCAGCCTGCTTCGTCTCCGAGATGCCCACGGGTCTGCCCCCACCCTCCTCTTCAGCTGCCATTCGGGTGTGGGCAGGACCAACCTGGGCATGGTCCTGGGCACCCTCGTGCTGTTTCACCACAGGGGGAGCACCTCACAGGCAGAGTGAGTGGTCGGGCCCCGGAGTCCCACGGGGCTGTGGGGATGAGGGGAAGACAGGCTGGCTCTGCCCTGGGGTGCTGAGGACGCATCCAAGAGCCCAGATCCAGAATTGGGAGCTCAGTTCCAGGCTTGCCACAGATTGGCTGTGTGACCTGGAGAGAGGCACTTGAGCCCTCTGGGCCTCAGTTTTCCTAGTGGGGGCAGTGCCCCTTGCTTCCCTCAGTGGGGCTCAGAAGGAATCTGTGGTTTGCTGCTTCCCAGGGGCCCATACAGGTGGGAGGGAGCGGACATGAGGCTGCCCCAGAGGCCTTTGGGAGCCCTGATTAACTGCTGCTCCCCTGCCTTGTCAGGTCCGGCCCCCCGAAGACCAAGTCCCTGCCCATGGAGCAGTTCCAGGTGGTCCAGAGCTTTCTGCACACGGTGCCCCAGGGAAGGAGGATGGTGGAGGAGGTGAGTGAGGTGGGTCCCTCCTGCACTGGTGGGGACATCATTCCTCTTCCTTGGTGATGCCCTCCCCAGAGCCGCTCTCTGCCAATTCCTCTCTTTCCTTTTCTTTTTCTCTCCCACCGTCTTTCCTTGACCCTCCACTCTCCGTCTCTCGTTTCCCTCCTCCCTGCCCTGTGCCTGGTCCCAGGTGGACAGAGCCATTGCTGCCTGTGCTGAATTGCATGATCTGAAGGAGGAGGCCCTGGCGAACCAGAGGAAGCTGGCAGGTGACCGGCCGGTGAGCAGAGCGCAGGTGAGGCCGGGAGGTCAGCCCGAGAGCCTCTGCCTCTCTGCCTCTGCCTCGTGTGAGCTGCTCAGCTTGACTTTGTTAGGGCTTCAGCTGACTTCTTTCAGCTGGTCTTCTCCTGGCTGCTGCGTTTCCCACAAGAAGAGCAATTTCCAGAGGGAGGGAGGCAGGGTTCTGGGCCTGCAAGAAGGACAGGGAAGAGGGCAAGTTTACTTTCCCTGTCCATGTCCCTTGGTGGCAGAATAAACAGGATGGAGGAAGGGGCTGCTGGCCAGGGTTGCCAGGGCCCCTAGATTCAGATCTTTCCCAGATCATTCATGTTTCCTTTGACTATAGTCAGCTTCTTGTGACTATAACGAAATATTGGAGGTAATGAACTTATACAGAGAAAAGGTTTGTTTTGGCTCATCGTCTTGGAGAGTTTTGTCCAGGATTGATTGGCCCCTGTTGCCTTGGGGCAAGGGCAGCACATCATGGCAGCTGTGTGTGGCAGAGTGAGCCCACTCACCCTGTGGCCAGGAAGCAAAAGGAGAGGAAGAGAAAGAGGCTGAGGGCCCAGTGTCCCTTTGGGGGTTCATTCCAGTGACCTGAGGGCTTCCAGCCCCACTCCTTAGAGGACCCACTGTCTGCTATGAGGACTGCCTGGGGACCAAACCCTTATTTAATTTTCACGATTCAAACTAGCAGCTGTTGGTCCAGTGCACTGCTCAGGCAGAGTGCTGGGCTCTAGGCTCCAGGAAGACCCCATCCCCAGCTCTGGGGCATGAGGTTGGTTCGACATAGTGTGTACACAGTGTGTGGAAAGAAGTGAAGCCCACAGAGCCTCTTCCCTCAAATTCCTTTTAAAAATATCTTAAAAGCAGTATTCTGTGATGGAAAATTGAGAATTTAGAGCAGAAAGGAAAAGAAATTGCCCATAATCCCAGCACAGCTGTGCAGGCATCTGGAACTGGTTTGCTTCATCTTGTGTATTTCTGATTCTCCGGCAGAGGCTGCCCCAGCGCATGGTTCACATCCTGCTTGCTTTAACTTCACAGCAGTGTGCTCCCATGTGGATGCCTGATTTTTGTCCCTGAGATTTCTAACGGTCGTGTAACTTAAACCCTGACACGGTTCAGGCAGCACCAGCCTAATAAATGAAGAGCAGGGCCTGGGCCAGCTGCTTGGGTTCTGGCCCTCGCCCTGCCATGGATAGGGGTGCAGACCTGGGAACCGCTCCACCACTCTGTGCCTCCATTTCCCCAGTCGTGAAGTAGGGCCAATAATAAGTAGTTTGTGGGGCTGCTGTGGGGCTAGGTGAGGTGAGACACACGACATACTTGGGAGAGAGCACAAGGCAGGTGTCGCTGCAGTGTCACCTGCTGGGAGTTAGTAAGCAGACCTCTCGTTGACAGTGGAGTTGCTTCATGGTCCTCATCAGTGTAAGTACTTTTTGCTTTGAGCATCTTCATGAAAATGAAGGCTTCTGTATTTTCGAGGTTTCCCCCTTAGCCCAGATTAGAGGTTAGCAGAGCAGGGCTCATGGGCCACACCCAGGTCACCACCTGTCCTTGGGAGTGAGTTATGGGAGCGAGGCCTTGCCTGTGCACCGTGCACGCATGTGTTGTCTCTCCTGCATCAGTGGAGATGAGTAGGCTGCACACCTAGTGCATTCACTGCTAGCCTCTTATAGGACATGCTTGCCAACCCCTAGTGGGGATCCCTCAAGTTGGGGTACAACTTCATCAGAAGGCATGACTTTCTTTTGGGCCAGTTTGAATCTGACTTGCTGTCCAAAGGCTGCTGACCCTGCAGGAGGACTGTGAGAGCCGAGGGCTGAGGAAGGGCCTGTGGGATTCGCTATGACACCCCCCTACCCAGAGGATTGCAGGGCATCAGTAGAAGAGAGGCACCAGCCCTGTTTGCCATCTGGTGTGTGATTTGGAGGAAGTCACTGTATTTCTCTGAATTTCCCTTTCCACTCTGTAAATTAGGGGTAATATTAACGCCCTCCCCAGTGCCATTGTGAGGGTCTCTGATTTCCAGTGGGCTGTGGGGTCCCTCGTTCCTACAGGAGGGTTTCCCTTCAGAAAAAGGGTTTGCACACTTGCTTCCTAACACAGGAGGTGCAGAACATGGCATGGGGGTGCCGTTGGGGCAAAGCGAGGGAGCCCCCCTCCCCCACCTGCCCAGAGGTGGGGTGGGGTGGGGTGGTGGTCCCTGCACCAGAGCCGCAGCACCTGGTTTGGTCTCCAGAGATCTCCCCGCGTCACTGACTAACCACCGCAACAGGATAGAGTTGGACGCTTGGAAGAAGAGGGGGACCCTGTCCTCTGGGATTTCCCAGGCTCAAATCCTACTCTTTCAGGCATGCAGGGGGCAGCCTGCGAAGCCCTGTTTTAACTCCCTGCCCTCCTTCCCTTCCCTTTCTCAGGGAAGCAGCGGGCAGCATGTTGCCCGGCAGAGGGCGCTGCGGAGCCTGGAGCGCTACTTCTACCTGATCCTGTTCAGCTACTATCTGCATGAGCAGGTGGGGCTGGGGGGCACAGACCCATGCCTCCTCCTCCCAGGGCTCCTCTAGGCCTACCCCACACCCCACAAGGTGATAGGGACGCCATGGAGCTGGGGAGGAGAGTGGGGATGAGTGCTGGGCCCCCAGGAAGATGGGTGTGGGTGAGTTGGGAGGGACAAGGAGAGACCCAGATGGAAGGTGGGCCCTGAGCCGGACTTGTCTGGCAGGCCCCGGCCCTTCCTCCTGTCCCCTTAGCCAGGGGAGCGGATGTCCTGGTCTGTCACCCACCCCTCAGTCCTTCCCTGGACCATGCTGGTGTCTCCTGGCGGTCTTCTCCATGGGGCGGGCAGGGAGAGTTCAGGATAGCCCCCACCCCTGAACGCCCCATCTCTCTCTGGCTCTGGCTGCAGTACCCCCTGGCCTTTGCCCTCAGTTTCAGCCGCTGGCTGTGCGCCCATCCCGAGCTGTACCGCCTGCCTATGACTCTGAGCTTGGCGGGGCCTGTGGCTCCCAGGGACCTCCTTGCCCAGGGCTCCCTGGTGAGTATGACCAGCGGTCTGGGAAGCCGGGGTGGGCGTGGTTGGGCCTGGGGATCCCTGAACCCTGGATTCCTGGAGGGTGGGGCAGGCATGGTCAGTGCTGGCCCAAGAAGCCTCTGTGGCTTTGGCCACCATTTTAGTACCTCCTCTTCTGCCTAAAAGTCAAGCATTTTGGCAGGGAGTCAGGAGAGCTGGGCTGTGGGGTCTTTGCTTCCAGCCTTTTATCTTTGAGCCTCAGTCTCCTCTTATCCTCTCTGGGGTGCTGATGGGGCTCTGTAAACTGTCAGGTGCTGGCCCCACCCTCACCGGCAGGGTCTGAACCCTCTGTGGCTGCCTTTGGCTGCTGTGGGTCCCAGACTCAGTGCCCTCCCCACAGGAGGCAGATGACCTTGTGTCCCCGGATGCGCTCAGCACTGTCAGAGAGATGGACGTGGCCAACTTCCGGCGTGTGCCCCGCATGCCCATCTATGGCATGGCCCAGCCTAGTGCCAAGGTGACTGCACCTGGGGTAGGGGGCATGCAGGAGGGTGGGGAAGGGCTGGGTACTTTCCCTGATGGTCCCTCTGTCTCATAGGCCCTGGGCACCATCCTGACCTACCTGACCGATGCCAAAAGGAAGCTGCAGCAGGTGGTCTGGGTCAACTTGCGGGAGGACGCCGTGCTGGAGTGTGATGGTCACACTCGAAGCCTGCGGCTGCCTGGTTCCCCCATGACCCCCGCCCAGTTGGAGGTGAGACTTCCTGGCCCTGCCTTGGAGGCCTTCTGATGTGCCCTGGCAGGGTCTTCAGGAGACCCCATGCTCCTGCTGGATGGAAGGGGAACTGAGGCCGGAGGGTGCAGTCTGAGGGGCTGATTTGGGGCTCCTCCTCCATGGCTCTGGGGGATTATGACCCCTGAGGCTCTGTGGGGCAAGGATGGGCCTGGATACTGGGACTGGTCATAGCCACAGCAGGCTCTGGCCTCTGCCCTCCATCCCTCCCTTTCCCAGGCCACGGAGGCCCAGCTGAAGGCCCACCTGAGCAAGCCACCCTCCGACACAAAGGGCCCACTGCCCCCCAGGTTCCAGACGTGCCTCACCATGCAGGAGATCTTCAGCCAGCGCCGTGGGGCCTGCCCCGGCCTCACCTACCACCGTGTCCCCCTAATGGACTTCTGTGCCCCTAGAGAGGAGGTGAGGGCGGAGGGCAGGAGGCACCCCCTGCCTCCCCTGGGCCTGGGTTTAGGGAGGGGAGACCAGCCCAGCTGTGCTCTGGTGCCAGGGGAACCATGGCATCATGTGTCTCAAGAGGTTCATTCCCATCCTTCCAGCTGTGTGTGTGTATGCGCGCGCACAGTGTGTCTGCTGAGGGAATGAGTGTGGAGTGTTGCATTATGGAGGGTGCATGTAGATCTGATGAGTGTTTCTCACAGGATTGTGATGCTTCTCTGGTCTTACTGGCCTGTGTGTAGAAAGGGGTCTTTAGGGGCTTGTGTGGTGTGTGGGCTTGTGGGAAGGCTGTTGTGGCATGCCAGTGTGTGATTGGGGTGTTTTCATGTGGTGGCTGCACATTTGTGACAGATGCATCTTTCCAGCTGTCTGTAGTTTGCATGTCTTGAAGGCATGCGGATCCCCCGGTGTGGTGTGTGTGCCAGGTCTGTGATGTGCAGGAGTCACTCGGTGCCTGTGCATACTCTTCTGTAACTACACGAGGCTTGCATCCGTGCTTGTGGTATGCTGCCCCCTGGTGGCTGAGCCCTGTTGGAGCGGCCATCTGAGCTCAGGGCCCTTGCTCATGGAGGGATGCAGGGACAGCTCCTGGCTCGCATACATGTGTGTGTCCAGACTCAGACTGTGGCCTCACCCCCAGGACTTTGACAAGCTGCTGGAGGCCCTGCGGGCTGCCCTTGCCAAGGACACTGGCACTGGCTTTGTGTTCAGCTGCCTCAGCGGACAGGGCCGGACCACAACTGCTATGGTGGTGGCTGTGCTGGCCTTCTGGCGCATCCGAGTATGTGTGGCTCCCACGTGAGGACTGGGATCTGCCCAGGCAGGGTGGGCACTGGGGCCTGGGGGCCACTGGGTGGTGGGAGGATGTGGGTGGCAGAGGCAGTGCCCAGGGAGAGGCTCCTGGCCCACAGCTGTCCTCCCCAGGGCTGCCCCGAGGTGGGTGAGGAAGAGCTCGTGAGCGTGCCTGATGCCAAGTTTACCAAAGGCGAGTTTCAGGTGAGTGTGTCCTGTGGGAGGGTGGGGTGCGCCTGGGGAGGGGGGCAGAGCTGCAGCAGGTCTGGGAGTCCTCAGAGCTCTTCCCAACACAGGCACCCCGTCCACCTTGTCGTCAGTGCCTCCTGTTCCTGTTTCATGGATGAGCAAGCCAAGGCTGGGGTCAGCATGGCTCTGGGGCCCTGGCTGATGGCCACAGGAGATGGGGGCTAGACTGTCGTCCCCACCTGGCCTGGCTGCTGGGTGTCCTGGGGTAATGTGCACCTGGGACCCAGCTGTGGTTGGAGCCCTTGCATGAGGGCCCAGCCCATGCTACCCTTCCTGCACCTCTGTTCCAGATCAGGGCGTTGGCTGGACGGCTACCACCCTTTCACGTTCATTCATTGTGTGTCATGCACTTACGTCATCTCAGACACCCTGTGAGGAGGTGGCACATCCCCACAGAGTTGGCATGTGGCTGGCTGGCAGTAACATCAGGGTCAGCTGCTGCCCACCTGGCCAACTGTGCTGTGTGTCCCTGGCCTTCCCTCCCTGCAGTTCTATTGCCCTGACCTCCATGTGGCTCCTCAAACTCGCACCAATCCTCCTGCCTCAGCCTGCTGAGTGCTGGGATTACAGCCAGGCCTCCTTCTAACTCATCTTGTAAAACAGAAATCTTGTAGCCATTAAACAATAACTCCCCATTACTCCTCCTCCTCCCAGTTCCTGGTGACCACTGTCATCAGTTCTAAGGGCCCAGGGTGCTCCTGGGGGGCCCAGCACAGGAGAGGATGGCACTTGTATACACTTCTAGCATAAATTAGACCCTTACCCTACACCACACCCAAAAACTAACTCAAAATGGGTCAAACATCTGAATGTAAGAGTTAACCCTACAGAGATGTTAGAATGAGATGCAGAAGAGCTCTATGACTTTGGACTTGACAGTGATTTCTTGGATATAAGAAAACAAAACTCAGGCAACAAAAGCAAAACCAGACAAGTCCAATTCCTTCAAAGTTAAAGATTCGAGAGTGTGCTGGGGAGGTGGGAGGGCGGGGGGCCAAGTGTGCAGAAGGGCTCTGGGAAGGCATGGGAGCTGGGCAAGGCTGTGATTGGCTGGAATAGAAGGGGGCTGAGAGGGACCCGGATTGTGAGGGCCCTGTAGGGTCACACCAGGTGTTTGACCTTGACCTTGAGGCCAACAAGGCAGCAGATGAGGTTGTGATGAGGCTGTCCATCCAGGGGCTCCGGCGGGCAGTCGCGTGGAGTAGAGGGCTGGGAAGGAGGGAGGCAGGAGCCGAGAGGAGGGGGCAGTGGTGTGAAAGGTCTTGGAGGCCCCTGAACATGGGGCAGGGAGTACACTCAGGCTGACCCCAGGTTTCTGGCTCCGTGGTGGTGAAGGGCACAGAGATGCAGAATTCAGAGGGGGAGCAGCTTCACGTTAGAGGCTAGGAGTTGGATTTCAGGATTTCACAGCTTTCCTCCACGAGACCTGCACAGAGTCCAGTCTGGGTGCGTGGGTGGGCCCTGCCCCTCCCCCTCCCCCTCCCCCTCCCACCCCCTTCCACTCCCACTCCCACTCCCACACCCCAAGCTGGACCAGCCGCTCGTGCCCTTCAGGGTGCTGGGTTCTTTTCTTTTTCCTTTTTTTTGGTACCAGGGATTGAACTCAGGACCTTGCGCTTGCCAGGCAGGCACTGTGCCGCTGAGCTAAATCCCCGGCCCTAGGCTGCTGGGTTCTTGCCTCCCACCTGGCCGCCACTCCAAGACTGCCAGCCTTGAGAAAAGGCCCCGGTGGGTCAGCCCTCCCTGGGGTGGGGCCCGGCATGCATGCGAAGGGGGCTGGTCAGCCAGGTATCTGCTTCCTTCCTGTGTGGAGGATTATGGGTAACCAGCAGGTGGTGTAGACAGCTCCTGCCCAGTGGGCACAGACGTGAAGACCAGCTCAGTATGAGAAGGTGGCTGTGGGCTCTGGAAGGACAGAGCAGGGTATTGGGTGGGCTCTGGGAGGGCGCAGGGGTGAGGCGATATGGGGGCTGGTAGACCCAGGGAAGGTCTGGATTTTACACAGAATGGGAGGGAGCCACTGGGAGAGAGACGCCCAGGAATGACATGGATGTGACATGCTCAGGTTTATACTTCCCTAAGGCCTCTCTGGCCCCAGGCAGGGCTGAGTGAAGTCACCCGATGGAGCTGTGGAGAATGCAATGTAGGCAGAATCCAAAGGGCATGGTTGGGAGGGTTGAGGGAAAAACCCTGCCCATGTGCCACACGGGCTTCTGTTTTCCCAGGGACGCTTATATCAGGCCATGCTGGGCTGCCTAGAGCCGGGGGTCCCCATAGCGTTGAGGGCGGAGGGCTGGGAGGACCCCAGCATGGCTTTGTCACGTCTCACCTCCCCAGCTCCACCATGTGGCAGCCCCTCCTTGTATAGAGCTGGGTGAGGGTTCATCTGAAGTCAGGTTTCTTCTGGAGAAGGAATAAATGCCTTGGGTTGGCCTCACAGGGTCTTGCTTTATGGGGTTGTTTCATATCCACCACACAAAGCATACGAGACAGCAATTGGAATCACACTCATGCATTTATTATGTCTTGAACACTTTTTTTTTTTGGTGCCGGGGATCGAATTCAGGACCTTGTGCTTTCAAGGTAGGCGGTGGCACCACTGAGCTAAATCCCTGGCCCTTGAACACTTTTAAGTGTTAACACTCTCATGTTGTGTAGTAGAAGTGCTTCCACTCCTTGCACCTGGGCCCCCCTGGCAGGACTACTTATCCTCTGACAACTTAGGTCAAGGGTCCCTGTTTTCCTGGTAACTTTGGTAGAGTGCTGTGAAAGATTGGAAACTCAAGTATGTAGCATATGTGACCATAGATTATGAATTGCATGGTACTTAGGCAATAGCTTATCCACACTCACCAGTATTAGCCCATGACAACCTTTTTGGGAAGATTTGCCTCCAGGTTTGGAGCTTGAAAGTCACTGGAATAACTGAAAAAGTTGCAGTATGTGCTTAAGATTTTCAGTTGTACATTAAGAATTGTGTACAACTGGAAATGTCTGTGTCACCAGTAAAATCTTAGCAATGAAAGAAATAAAAAGCACATTGGGGGCCCAGCCTGGGAGATGTCCAGGAACCCCTTGCCCCCTTACTGACCCCCAGTGGCTTCCTGGCCACTCATCCCCCTCCTCTTGCTATAGGTAGTGATGAAGGTGGTGCAGCTGCTGCCCGACGGGCACCGTGTGAAGAAGGAGGTGGACGCAGCACTGGACACAGTCAGCGAGACCATGACACCCATGCACTACCACCTGCGGGAAATCATCATCTGCACCTACCGCCAGGTGAGCCCCACCCTGTCCAGGTGCGTTGCAGATGTGCCCTGCCCAGGCTGTGGTTGGTGTGAGTTTGAGGTGGCCAGGGGTCCCATGGCCCCCTCCATTGCTCTTGGTCACTTTCCACCTCTGGGAAGTGGAGGTGATCTCTGAAATGGAAATGTTCCTGGCCCAAAGCACTCCCACCTGTTTCTGCACAAGATGTGGGCAGGGTGATGCAAAATGTGCTTCATACCTGGTGTTGCCCTGGGACCAAGCAAGGATGTGGCCAATCAGTATGAACACCTGAGAGCCCTGTAGTGCCAGGTGGTGCCCTCTAGTTTGTGGATCATGGGAACCTAGTGTCCTGAGCAGGAGTCAGGTGGGTTTCTGGGGCCTCAGGCCCTGGGAGCAGCTGATTGACAGTCAGCAGGGATGCAGTTCAATATTGAACAGGTGATGCTGCCCCATCCCCAGGACACAGAAGGCCTGTGCTGCTCTGGGAGTAGCCTGGCCCCATTTGGACTTTTTGGGTTTGTTCAGTTAAAAGTTACTTTTGAATAACTCAGTTGTAAAAAATATGATTTTCATAATGGCCCAGATTTCATGTAAAAATATGGGTTTTGAGCCTACCTGGAAAGAGTGTGCCCTGTTGTCTGCCCTGGTCCCCGCTCCTTGCTCTGTCACCCTTGTCCCCTCCCCCGCCTGGAGTTGGTGTGGCCCTTGGAGTTTGTGTCTCAGGTCTGTGGGTGGAGCTGCTGGCCTGCCCACTTCTGCTCTTCTCTGGCCCTGTGAATTTGGTTGGCCGGCATGACAGAGGGGGTGCTGGGGAGCGGGTGGGTAGGGTGACGTAGCACTCCCAGGGTGACGAGAGAGGGCAGTGTGTGCCCATCTGTGTTCTCTGCTGCTGCCTAGTGGTTCTCGGGGACAGCTTTTGCCTGTGGCCCTTGCAGGAAGGCAGCCTGCCGCACACCAGCCCATGTTCAGCATGCAGGCCGGCATCCATCGGTGGAATGATGCATCCTGGCAGCCTTTGCTCATGACCAGGGGTCTAGCCCAGGTGGTGGCAAAGGGTGGTGCCTAGCTGGAGGTAGGCAAGGGATGGGGGCCAGACTGTGTCCAAGATCAGAGGTCGGCTGGGAGAGGCGTTTGTCTAGTAAAAGGCAGCCATATGTCCAGAGGGGAGGTCCTAAGGAGCTTTGTGCTCTTGGAAAGGTAGTTTCCTTTCTCTGGAGCCTATAGTTGACTGTGGCCTGCCTCCCACTCACTGTGGTCTTGTATGTTGCCACCAGGTGGCAGCACGGAGCCAAGAGAGTACAGAACTGAAACTTCCTGTTTGCAGTTGGAGGCTCAGGAAGTGGAAAAAGTGCTTCAAAGCACCATAACCCCCACCATGCTGGCCAGGCCTGGGCAGAGGCCTTTTCTTTGCATTCCACAGCTGACAGGGCCTCCCTCCTGGTGCACACAGCAGGGAGCAGAGAGCATTGCAGGCTGAGCTGGGGGCGGGGGGTGTGGTGTGGTGTGGTGTGGTGTGTGGAGTGCCATGAAGCTGGCCTGAAACAGTCCTGACAGAAGAGAGCCAAGGAGGCTGTCTAGGCCTGAGGGGCTTCAGGAGCTAAGGCCAGGAGGCTGAAGGTGCAGAATGAGTTTGGAGGGAGTGAAGATGGCCTGGTACCTGCAGTTTCATCAGAGGTCCTTAGGGAGGAGGCTGGAGGGTCAGCTGGCCCTACTCTGAGCAGAGGGCAGGAGGGTGGGAGGGTGGTGTGGCCGCAGCTGAGGCAGTACAGACTGTTTTTAGTGGGAGGGAGGAGGCTGAACCAGTTGAGGACCTTCACCACCCCCACCAGGCCACCCACTCCACTCGAGGCCAAGGTGGTGCAGACTTTTCTGTAGAAAGTTGGGAATCCCTCAGCCCCATTCCTGGGCCCCTAATGGGTCCAGAGGCAGATTTGAGTCAAGACCCAGTGTGGCCACCAGGTGGCCCCAGGAGCTGAGTGTGGGTCAAATTTAAGTGCAAAGGCCTGAGATCGCTCCTGGTGTCCTGTTCTCACCCTGCCTGCCCATGAAGTTAACCTGGTGTTCAGTGCATTCCCTGCCTGAGCACCATTCCCAGAGTCTGATCTGCTGGGTCTGCTGTGGGGCAGGCTCATGGGTCTTGTTTTTAAAGCTTCCTTGGTGGGGGGGGGGGGGGGGCCCGTGGCTGTAATCCCAGCACTCAGCAGGCTGAGGCAGGAGGATCACTTCAAGTTTTGAGGCCAGCGTGGGCTCCACAGTGAGTTCAAGGCCAGCCTGAGCTACACAGTGAGATCCTGTCTCAAAAATAAAAACAAAACAAAACAAAAAGCTGCATAGGTGACTAATGCACTTCCAAGGTTGAGAACCACAGACCTATATAAGGGTCCCCAACTTTAGTGAGCCTGAGACTTCTCTGGCAGACTTGGTATGGCTGAGCCCGGGGCAGCATTCTTGATGGCAGGACTGGATACTGATGGATCCCAGATGCTGTTGCTCTTGGCTGGGGGCCTGTGGCACTAGTGTCTCATCCTCTCTCTCTGTAACAACAGCTTCATTGAGATGCAACTCACATTCCACACAATGCACTTGTATACAGGGCTAGCCAGGCATGCTGGTGCATACCTGTAATCCCAGCACTAGGGTGGCTGAGGCAGGAGGATTACTGTGAATTTGAGGCCAGCCTGGGCTACATTGTGAGTTCAAGGCCAGCCTAAACTACAAAATGAGACCCTATCTCAAAAACCAAACAAACAAACAAACAAACAATACAGGGTTAGGGATGTCGCTGAATGGTAGAGTGCTTGTCAATCCCCAGTATGCAAAAGAAAAAAGTTATAGTTCCATGTGTTTTAGTACATTCAGTATTGTGGAGCCATCACTACCATCAAGTTTAAAACATTTTCATCACCCTCAAAAGAAACCTCACATCCAATGGTAGTCATTTCCCTTCTCCCAGCCTCTGACAACTATAGATCTACTTTCAGTCTCCATGGATTTGCCTGTTCTATTTGGGTTTCTATGGAGACTGCAGGACATATTGAATGCATTTCATGTAGGTGGAATCATAATATGTGGTCCTTTGGCATTGTGTTTTAAGGGTTCATCTGCTGGGGCATGCATCAGTACTTCATTCCTTTTTATTGCTGACTAATCTTCTGAATGGACATGACACGTTCTGTTCAGTGCCTCTCTAGCTCAGGGACATTTGGGTGGTTTCCATTTCTTGGGTGTTGCACAAAGGCAGCCATGAACCTTTGTGTCTATGTTTTGTGTGGGCATGTTTTTACTTCCCCTGGGGGTCTGCCTGTGTAATAGGAAAGGCATTATCTGGTGTTTCTCCTCTGTGCTCACAGCACAGCAGTTCACATGAGACAGCAGTTGTGGGGACTTCTCCCCACCTACCAAGCAAGCTATGCTTCAGCAGCCGACATAGGCTGGGTGGGTGTCCCTTACTCCCATTCAGTTCTGGTCCTTTCCACCTGGAGATGCTGCCACACCCCCCAGCTTGAGGGTTCAGTCCCCACAACAGCACCCCTCACCCTTCAGATGCCAGCTGCAAGCCCCAGATGGTTTTACCCATGCTTCAGATCAACAGGCTATAAGTAGGGATCCCCATAACCCCCTCCTTAGGCTCAGTTAATTTGCTGAAGCGGCTCACAGGACTCAGGGAAACACTTATCATACTAGCTTATTATAAAGGGTATTTTAAAGGATGCCGAAGAGGAGATGTGCAGGGTGAGAACTGAGAGGAGGGGTGCACCTCCTGCCAGGAGCCACCTCCACCCTGCAAACTCTGCACCCTCTCCTCTTGGGCTTTTTGGTGACTTCATTGCGCAGGTGTGATTGCTGCTAGGTGGGTGGGGACACCCGGTGAGGCCTGTCTGTCCACCATTCTCCCTGGCCTCTGTGCGACTTTCCTCCCTCCAGGGAACAGGGCAGGCAAGGCCTCTCTACATGTGGGGGGTTGTATCACCTGCTGTCTATCAAGGGTAGGCTAGGGAATTTCATTATGGGAAGTTTATAGACATTCTACAGCCCTTGGGGAAGAAGCTCTCGTTTCTATGGCCACCTTAGGGAGGGAGTTACAAGCCAGGAGCTGTGTATGGAAACCGAAAAGCATACATCATAACATTTCAACCTAGGAGTGGACTTGCTGGATCACATGGCAGTTGTAAATTTAACCTTTGAGAATTTGCTTTCCAGTTTGTTTTCCAAAGTGGCTACTCTGTTTTCCATTCCTACCAGCAATGTGTGGAAGTTCTCAGTTCTCTTTGTTCTTGCAGACCCTGGTTACCATCTTTCTTTTTGGTTCTTGCCACATTATTGGGTGTGAAATGGTAATGCATCATGGTTTTGGTTTACATTTCCCTCTTTTTTTTTTTTTTGGTACCGGGGATCAAACTTGGGACCTTGTGCTTGCGCAGCAGGCACCAGAACCACTGAGCTAAACCCCTGGCCCTACATTTCCCTCTTGACTAATCATGTCCAGCATCTTTTTATGAGTTTGTTGGCCATTCTTGTATCTTTATTGGAGAATTATGTGTTGCCGTTGGGAGAATTGCCCACTTTTAGTTGTTCTTATTGTCTTTTTATTACGGATTCATAAACACTCTTTGTATAGTTTAGATGTTCTTATGTTTTTTGGACATGTCTCTCATCAGATTATTCATTTGCAGAATTTCTCCCCATTCTGTGAGTGATCTTCACTAGCTTAATAATGTCATTTGGAGGGCCGGGGATTTAGGTAAGTGATTCCACCACCCACCTTGCAAGCACAAGGTCCCGAGTTCAATTGCCGGTAACCCCCCCCCCCAAAGTCATTTGATGAACGAAAGATTTTGATTTTGATAAGCCCAACATCAGTTTTTTCTTTGTTGCTTGCACTTTAGTGTGGTGCCTCCTCTATGGCCCTGAAGATTTAGGTCTCTTAGTGGTGGCCAATTTTATGTATCTGCTTGGCTCAGCCACAGTACCCAGAGATATAGTCAAACATTAGTCTAGATATTTCTGTTAAA